TGTGTGTGTTGTGTGTGTGTGTGTGTGTGTGTGTGTGTGTGTGTGGTTGCGTGCGTGCGTGTGTGTGTGTGTGTGTGTGTGTGTGTTGTGTGTGTGTGTGTGGTGTGTGTGTGTGTGTGTGTGCGTTTTGTTGTTTTTTCATATGATGACAAAAATTTAAGATTTTATTTTTGTTATAAGAACTCGAATATCGAACTTCCATGCTTAAAAACGATTAAAAAAAACAGATAAGATAGAGAAAAATAAATAACGTCGATAGTATTGGTTGCTGAGGTAAGTGAAATTGGCATTACTCCGTTAAATTAATGGCCAATAAAACTTTCTTGAACATTCTCTCTCAGACGAATTCTCAAATAGACGAATAAAACGTAACTTCGGGAATAAGAATAGCCAAGTTTTACCAAGTTGCTGGTCACGAGTGCATTCAGGAAAGGAATTTTGTTTTCGAAAAGTTACGCCTCAGCTGTGAATCTTACGTTAGGGTGGGTGTCTATTAAATTTGCGTGCTTTGATGTTATGCCGATTTTCAGCGCATGCCGGTCTATTTATAGAAAGAACCAAGGCAACTGCTTTTCTTTTCTTTTCTTTTCATTTTTCTTTTTCTTAGGGGGGTGGGGGTAGGGGGAGGCGAGGGAGCCATGTTGTTTTCTGTCGGTGGTATTTCGTCAACATCATTACTGCCAGTTTATCTTCTTGTTTTTCTTGCTTCATTCATCAGTGGTCTTATATATATATGTTTAACCACAAAAATACTAATTAATTCTAAATATATGCACTTTCCCGCGTAAATAATTTTAATATTCCGTATCCCCAGGGTGCTGATCCTGGCGGTGCACAGTTGCGCGCGCCGCCGCCAGATGGCCGCCGAGGAGAAGCAGGCGCGCGAGCAGCCGAAGGACGACCACCACGTCACCAAGATCAACCGCGAGGAAGAATGGTGACTAGGTCTCGGCTCCTCCTCCTCCTCCTGCATCACCTCGCCTCCCACACGCGTCTGGGAGACCAGAGACTCCTCGGGGGCGGTCATCTCCACCCAGTGGGAGGTGTCGACGGAGGCCCTCGCCCGCAGCGGGAAGCACGCCAGCTGGGAAGAGTCGACGGCGTTTCGGGAGGTGTCTGCCGGCGGTCCTGGGCGGTTCAAGGTGTCCAGGGTGTGACGGGGACGCTGCACACTGCCACACACACCACACGCTTCCCTTCGCTGCTTTTGGAACACGTCCTTGCTCTGTGCGCCTTTTTCTTTCTTTTCTTTTCTCTTTCGTTCTCGTTATGTTCTACGATTGTCTTTCGTTTCCTTTCTCTCTTCTTCGGCTTGTCTTCCTTTCGTACTCAGGTTAGGCAATTTTTCCTAACAGATCTCACCGCGCGTTTTTTTTCTTTATTTTCCTTTTTTCTTTTTCTTTTTATTTTCTTTTTTTTCTATTTTTTGAGAAGGAGGAGTCACAAACGCTTTTTTTTACTGAAAAAATTCCATTTTAGAATTATCATTATATGATAGATTAGATTATTATACATATCTAAGCGACAGTTAACCCCGTGAGAAAGACCAAAAAAAAAAAAAAAAACACCTGAATATCAAAAAGTTATTTTTACTTATAATTCTCGCGCGGTTTCTGTTCCAGCTCCGTTCACTTGTTCACTTATTTTAAACGTAGTGTAGATTTTTATTGTTTATTTTCCACAAGTATACAAGTATACCAGATATGTAAATGTGCCGGACGCCTATGTATATAGAACAGAGATTCCTAAAGTGCGGTTTACAAAGGGTATTCCACTTGTAATAAATACTTTCCATTTATTAATTTGGAGTTAAAGGTTATAGATCTATCAACAAAAGGTATGATAACTAATTAACAGAAATATACCGAAAATCCCCAAGAGAAAGGGGAAATTTACAATTAGTAGGCCTATACCTCTTTGTAACGAATAGGCCTATACCTTTTATGTAACAAGTAGGCCTATGCCTTTTTGTAACTAGGGAATCACTGGTTATAGACATTTTGAAAGAAGAACGTCTTGGAAAAGCATACATTGCCAGCTTGTATATATATAAAAAGCCTTAGAAGATGGACCACTTGTGTTGGTAATAGACTTAAAGCTGAACAAAAAAGTGTACATACAAAACCAGATCGGGAGATAACAATGAAGCAAAGAATTGTGAGTTGTATGTATGTGAGAGCGCCGGGAGGATGTGCCTTGTTCAATTCTTATAGTGTAAGAATTTTTTTTCCCTTTTTTTAACGTTTTTTCTGTCACCTTTTTCTTCATCTCGAAACACACGTCTACACAAAAAGATGTCTTCTCTTACAAACACTTAAGAAAAAATATAAATAAATACAAAAAAAAAATGTATAAAACTTTTTAAAAATGATGATAAAAAAATAAGAATTTTATACTACTGCTTCAATTTTTTTACGTGTAAAAGTGAGTGTAAATATTATTAATGTGTGAGCCTTGTATGTTGAATGTCCTAATTTTGCAAAATGAAATGTCTTTTTTTACTGAAATTATTCCTTTTTAACAAGTTCCGAATTATGTCCCTCTTTTTAAAGGCCAATTTCCATTTTTTTAATATAATTTCTAAATGTTTTTAACCTTCTTTTCCCAGCAATTTTTCCTTGTATGTAAGTTATGGTTCAGTATATGATGAGTTTGTTTAATAAAATGTTTTTATATATATAGATGAATCGATGTCTTTATACTGATTATGAAAAGAAATCAAGGTAGTCTTTTGTAATATGATTTTTAACCAAATATTATATCAGCAAATTGATACTATTTTTATTCTTATCACTGATATCATAATTATTATGTTGTTTTCCATTGCTATTATCATATTCATTTTTATTTTTATTTCATTTAATTTTTTTCATATTGCAATCACTATAATATAATTAGTACAATCATCAAAATCATATCACTGTTATCATCTTTACTACAACAAAAATCCAGATATCTCTCTATCTTTTCCAAAATACAATATTAATGTATTTATACATTATAATTATACAATATTAATTAACATCATTTTCCCCTTTTTATATAAATGTAACAACAGGACGTCGATAGGGCACCATCATGTACTTACAATGTTAGACCTTTTCATATCGTTTTATAAGTAGACCTTATAAGTGTGCGTGTCGATATCCCCGTGTTGGACTTGTTGGTACCTAATTCCAAGCATAAGTATTTAGTCTCTAGTCTTAATTGTAATTTATGAATAAATAAAGTGGACAAAAGATATGTTAATTGTATTTTTATTTCTTTTTGGTTCTTTTGGGTGTATGGGTATGCAATGATTGGGGAAGTTTGTAGTGTGTGTGTGGAGATACGACATATGTGTGGGGAGATGTCTGCTATGTACGTCTATGTATACACTGTAGAGAGTAGATGTGTGTATGTCTATCTGTCTATCTATCTATTTCCATTCTCATTTAGGATACACACACACAAGCACAAATACACATGTATATGTGTGTGTGTGTGTGTGGAGAGAGAGAGACAGACAGACACACATAGATAAATAGGAGACAGGCAAAACAGTATAGACAAGAGGCAGACAGACAGAGAGACAGATAAAAACGAGACAGACAGACGGAGAAAGAGACAAATAGACAGACAGAAAAAGAGACAAATAGACAGACAGAAAAAGACACAAACAAACAGAAAGAGAAAGAGACAGACGGGAAAAACACAAGCAAATAAACAGGAGACAGACAGACAAAAAAAAAAACACAAACAAACAAACAGGAGACAGACAGACAGACACAAATAGAACCAGACACTGACCAGAGACAACCAATCCCTCGCGCAGATAGATAAACCACCTTAACTGAAATTATTATTGTTGCAATTTATCTCCACTGAAGGCGGGCATCCTGCACGTGTCACCGAGGGAGGCGAGGAAAGGAAAGTGGAAGAGGAAGAGGGAGGAAGGGGAGGGTGAAAGGAAAGGAAGGTGGAGGGGGAAGAGGGTGGAAGGAAAGAAAGGTAGAAGATGGGTGGGTGGAAGGGTAGAAGAGAGAGAAGGTGGAAGGGATGAGAAAGGGGGAAGATGGGGAAGGTGGAAGGGTGGAAAGATAGCAGGGGAAGACAGGGGACGACAGTAGGATACGCGTGGCAGATGGATAGGTACAGGGATAGGTGTGGTCCCTGGTATTATGAGGGACACTTGGGCGCCAGGAGGGGGGGGGGAGGTTGTGTGGCGTGGTACTGCGGTCTCTGGTCTCTGGTTCGAGGTCTGGTTTATATGGAGGCAAGTTTTATTCTTTGTCTTATCTGTTGTTGGGGTTAATGAGATTTTGTGTTATTTTTAGGTAGATAGATAAATAGATAGACAAATATACAGATAGATAGACAGATGAACAGATAGTCAAACACACAGATAGATAGACAAATCGACAGATAAATAGAATGAATAGATAGTCAGACACACAGATAGATAGACAAATCGACAGATAGATAGACAAATCGACGGATAGATAGACAAATCGACGGATAGATAGACAGATAAATAGATAAGATGGACAGACATGTAGATAGACAGATAGATTAATCACATGATCTATTTACATAATCGTTTTGTCAATCCTATCGTCTCATATATTCACGAATACCAAGAATATGATAATACGAAAACAATTTATATATATATACCTTAAAATACCTTTAAATTAATATAAACAAAAGAGAAGAGGTGATTCAAGAGTCAAAAGTTGTCTTGCTTCAAAATTTTCTTCTTATTTTCACACGAAGTAATTTGCTTTAGATATTGGAAATGCCATTACTAAGGTGGACGAGAGAAGAGAGAAAGAGAGGAATGGAAGATTGGGGAAAGAGAAAGAGAGAGAGAGAGAGAGAGAGAGAGAGAGAGAGAGANAGAAGAACACTGGGAATTAATGAGGGAAGGAAGAAGAGGAGGAAAGATGAAGACAGGAAGAAGTAGAGGAGAAAGGAATGAGGGAGAGGAGAAGGAAGGAGAAGGAATGAGGAGAGAGAGAGAGTAGGAGAATGGAAATGAGGGAGAGGAGAGGAGGAGAATGAGAAAGGAATAGGAAGAGGAGAGAGAGAATAGGGAGAAGAAGAAATTAAGAGAGAGAGAGAGAAAGAGAGAAAGGGAGTAGAGAGGGAGAGATAAGGGACGAAGAAAGAGAAAGATGGGAGAAGGAATGAAGGGAGAGGAATGAGGGAGAAGAGTGGATGAGGGAGAGAGATGGGAAAGAGAGAGAGAGAATGGGAAGAAGAGATGAGATAGGGAGAGAAAAGAAGGAGAGGAGAATGAGATGAGAGAGGAGAGAGAGAATGGGGAGAGAGGGAATGGAGAAGATTGAGAGAATGAATGAATGTATGAATAGAATGACGCAGGAATGAGGGAAGAGAGAGAATAGGGAGAAAAAGAAAGAAGAGAAAGAATATGAAGGGAGAGAGAGAATGGGAGAAGGAATGAAGGGAGAGAAAGAATGGAATGAATGAAGGGAGAGAAGAAGAATGGGAGAAAGGAATGAAGGGAGAGAGAAGACTGGGAGAAGGAATGAAGGGAGAGAGAGAATGGGAGAAGGAATGAAGGGAGAGAGAGAATGGGAGAAGGAATGAAGGGAGAGGACGAAGAGAGAAACTGGGAGAAGGAATGGGAGAGGAAGAAGAGAGAATGGAGGGAAAGAAATGGGAGAAGGAATGAAGGGGAGAGAGAGAAAAGAAGAATGAAGGGAGAGAGAGAGAATGGGAGTAGGAAATGAAGGGAGAGAGAGAATGGGAGAAGGAATGAAGGGAGAGGACGAAGAGAGAGATGGATGGAAAGAATGGGAGGAGTAAAGGACGAAGAAAAAGAGGAGAGAGATGGAGGGGGAAGAAGGAGGGAAGGGATGGAGGAAGAAGGGAACAGAGATGAAAGATAGAAGAATTAAAAGAAAGGAAGAATGAGAAAAGAAGGCTGAGGATGAAGGGAAAAGGAGATGAAGGGAGAGGATGAAGAGGAAAAGAGAAGACTTAAGAAGAGGAGAAAGATGAAAGGGAGAGGAGATAGAAGAAGAAAATGAAAGGAAAAAGAGATGAAAGGAGAGAGAGAGAAGGGAAAAGGAGAAGAAAGAAGAAGGGGAGAGACGCAGAAAAAATGAAAGGATGGGAAAAGAGAGTTAGGAAGAAGATAAAGAGGAAAACAGAATAAGAGAGAAGAGAAGGGAGGAATGGGGAGAGAAGGAATGAAGGGAGAAAAAGAATGGAAGAAATGAAGGGAGAGAGAGAATGGGAGAAGGAATGAAGGGAGAGAGAGAATGGGAGAAGGAATGAAGGGAGAGAGGGAATGGGAGAAGGATTTTAAGATTGGAAAAAGAGAAGAAAAAAACAAAACAAAGAAAGACAAAATACAGAACAGGAAGAAGGAGAGAATGGAAGAAGGGGAGAAGGAGGAAGAAATGGGGGATAAAAGAAGGAAGAAGAAGAACAGGGAAAGAGGAGTAGGGAAGATGATGATGACAAGAAGAAGAGAAGGAAGAAGGAGAGGAGAAGGAAGAAAACAAGGAAGAGACATCAAAAGTCATCTCATCAGCATAATCAAGGTCATCGCTCTGTCATCATCAGCATCTCTGTCGACCTCCTTCTCCTCTTCATTGCTGCGTCATTATCACTTGTCATCACCATCATTTTCACTGTTGTCATCACCATCATTTTCACTGCTGTCATCTCCATCATTTTCACTGTTGTTGTTTCTCATCACCTCATTTTCACTGTTGTCATCACCATCATTTTCACATCTCCATCTTTCACTGTTGTCATCACCATCATTTCACTGTTGCCATCACCATTCACTGTTGTCATCACATCATTTTCATGTTGTCATCACCATCATTTTCACTGTCATCACCATCATTTTTCACTGTGTCATCACCATCATTTTCACTGTTGTCATCACCATCATTTTCACTGCTGTCATCACCATCATTTTCAACATCATCACCAATCATTTTCACTGTTGTCATCAACCACATTTTCACTGTTGTCATCCCATCATTTTCACTGTTCATCATCATTTTCACTGTTGTCATCACCATCATTTTCATCCATCTCGATCATTTTCACTGTTGTCATCTCCATCATTTTCACTGCTGTCATCTCCATCATTTT